CGCCATGCCCGAGCAGCTCAGCGTCGCCGAGTTCCTGGCCGTCACCGCGGAGGACCTCAGCTCCCCGGCCGGGGCCGCCGCCTTTGCCGCCAAGATGCCCCGGTGCCGGGGGGCGGCCCTGGCGCGGGAGGAGGTGAGGAGGCCGAGGCGGGAGGGGTCGGGGGTCCCGGCAGGGCTTCTCCTTGACCTTTACGGGCGTGACCGGAGCTGCGATGGGCCTTACCGCGCCCCAGAAACCTGACTCCTCTCCTGATCTGTGAGAACCGAGTGCATCTCAAACTTCGGCGTCCTCACTGTCGAGTCCCGGGGAGGGCCCGAGGGACTTTTTGTGCGGGTGGCCTTGAGGTCATCTCGATGACGGACTTCACAGGTCGGGGTCATAACCCCAGTGCTCTTGTTGACCCGACCCGTCGCATTCGTGTTTGTTCAGCGCCTCACTGCATCTGTTTGGGTTTTCATCTTCGGAGCCCCACAAGTTTGCTCCACAAGTCACTCCCCTCCTGGAAAACAGGCCTTCCCGCCTCAGTCCTGAACTTAACTTCTCCCCGGCTGCAGGGAGGCCCCCTCCCCCTGGCTGCTGGTTCTGAGATTTGGCCGGCGCTTGTGGAATGAATGCGAGTGAGAAGGCGCCAGGAGCCGGGGTTCACCTTGGCCAGGCTGTTGGCAAGTTTGTAGTCTCCCCTCCCCTCCCCTTTTCTCTTTGTCTTTCCCAGCAACGCGTCCCAGGCCTTTTCTTTCGCCCTTGCAGGCTGCCCCACCCCATTCCCGTCTGCGCTGGAGTTCATTCCTCTTCTCCCGACCTGCTGCACTCTGCCGGGCCTCCTCTGCGGGGACTGTTCTAGGGCAGACACCCTGTGGCTTTGGGCCAAGGGAGAATAATGTGGTTGTGCATCCCCCTTTCAGAGGATGCCCCGAATTGGGTGGCATTTTGGACTTCAGCAGGAGCTCTCATCTTCCATCCCTCATCATATAAGAGTATTGAGCCCCTACTGTGTGGCACATACAAAGCTCAATAGTACATAATACCCTGGGCCAGTGTCTTGAGGAGTATCTCCTTCTCCGCCTCTCCCTGGCAGGCTGAACCCCCATCCCAGAGTGTGTGTGCATCTCTCTCTAGGGGTGATAGAGGATTGTGGAAAGAGCATTGACTTTGCGAGAGGCAGAGCTGTGTTCAAATTCTGGCCCTGCAGTTTGCCAGCTGGGTGAGCTTGGGTATGTGACCTGATCTGTTTGAGCCTCACTTTTGGCAGCTATAAAATGAGATAATAATGTTTACCTCACAGGGCTATGGTATTATATGTCAGTGAGTGTAAAGCATGCATCTTGATAAATGGGATGATTATCAGGTTAATTGATGGACCTTTTTAGACAGTGACCAGGTCTCTTGTGTCCCCATTTCTCTCACAGAGCCTAGCCTAGGGCATTGCACATAGTAGGGTTACAGGCTTTCATTAAAATAAGAAGCAGCCGGGGTGCCTGGGTGGCTCAGTTGGTTAAGCCACTGCCTTCAGCTCAGGTCATGATCCTGGAGTCCCGGGATCGAGTCCCGCATCGGGCTCCCTGCTCGGC